GACAATTGGCTCTCCTATACGCTTTTCCTCCAAGCCCAATTATTCATAGATTTCATAGACTTTAAGGTCAGAAGGGACCATTATGACCATCTAGTCTGACCTCCTGCACAACCGCAGGCCACAGAATCTCACCCACCCACTCCTGTATCAAACCTCTAACCTATGGCTGAGCTATTGAAGTCCTCAAATTGTGGTTTAAAGACTTCAATTCCACAGGTCATCTTCAAGATGAAAGCAAATCAGGCCAACCTCATCCTCATTGCCCTGGCATGGTCGAGGCAGTGCAGGTTTTCTGACTTCTCATGTTGCCAATTCAGCCTCCCATACCTCTTTTTCTCCAGCCCGACCTGCTGACACAGGATCATGGTCACACTTCGCATCCTGTGCTCAGCTCCCTGCATTTCACTGTGTGGCTGCTCTGTGGTTGAATGAGGAGGATGTGTGGTGTTTGGCAGCTGTTTGACAAGTTCTACTCAACAGCAAAAAGCCCTCTACCAGAATGGCCTATTTGGCAAAATGGAAGTGGTTTTCAATGTGCTTGTTGGCCCATGAAGTTCAGCCAATGTGGCTTCTGTCCAGGATATCTTGTAGTATTTGCTGCACCTTCAGTTGTGAGGCCTTAGCTTAGCTCATTGAAGGTGCATCTGGGAGCAATATCAGCGTTTCATCCTCCCATTCATGGAAGACCAGTATTTTCCAATGCTATGGTAGCAAGATTCTTAAAAGGGCTTCTTTGTCTCCGTCCACTGGTGCGGGATCCGGTGCTGTTGTAGGAGCTTAATACAGTCTTAGTGGATCTGATGGGACCTCCGTTCAAGCCTTTGGCATCTTGTCTCTTTCCTCTATTCTGTCAAAAAACTGCATTCCTGGTGGTGATAACATCAGCAAGGAGAGTCTGTGAGTTGCAGGCTTTGATGGCGGAGCCTCCTTACATACAACTTTCCAAAAACACAGTGAAGTTGCAGCCGCACCCAAAATTTGTGCTTAAAGTGGTTTCTCAGTTTCATTTGAACCAGGTGGTATATTTGCTTGTGTTCTTTTCTAAACCACATTCATTTCTGGAAGAGCAGCGCCTTCACACATTAGATGTCAGATGATGGCTAGCCTTCTATATGAACAGTACTAAACCCTTTCATGCTTCATCTCCTCTGTTTGTGTCATATGCAGATTGTATGAAGGGACAGGTGATCCCTTCACACATGGTCTCTAAATGGATAACTTCCTGTATCAAGGCTGCATATGAAATAGCTTTGACTATGCCCCCTCAACAGATGCAAGTTCATTCTATGAGAGCGCAAGCTATGTCAATGGCATTCTTAAATGATGTCTCAGTCTTGGACATTTGCAGGGCTGCATGTGGCTGTCGATTACATTTGTTTCTGAACCATTATGCCATTACTGCAGCATCCAGAGCAGATACAAACTTTGGGAAGGCAGACCTGCAGTCCTTGTTTAAATAGACTCTGAGGCCCCACCCCCTGTGGATACTGCTTGTGAGTCACCCCAGTGGAATACACAGCTGCATCTACTCGAAGAAGAAATGGTTACTTACTATAACTGGTTCTTTGAGATATGATGCAGACCTGTATTCCTGACTGTGATGGGTTTCCCCCGGAATGCCACCTGGAACTGGGGTACTACTGAGCCCTGTGATGTACCAGCCTGGGCTCCCTCTCACACTGTGCTGCTGTGATAAGCTGTAGACCACTCCCGGTCTTATACTCCCCCTAGCATTCACACAGGCAGGGACACACCCAGCTGCAGTTGCATGAAGGCTCTGGCCAGCCACTGCATGAAGCAACAATAGAGAGGCTACAGCCAAGGTAACCCCCAGCTCCCCAGGCATGGAGCCCCCCCCCCCCCCGGAGTATAAACCCAAAATTATACCATCTTGCACTGTACAAGGATTTATACAATGTAAATTCATAGATAGTTTGCCCCTCCTTTAATGTGGAGAAGAATATGCAACAAGCGTGTGTTAACCAAGCTGAGATTTTCCCCAGATACTTCAGTCAAAGGCATACTGGTTTAGATAAAGCAAAAAACAAGTTTATTAACTACAAAAGATAGATTTTAATTGATTATAAGTGATAGCAAACAGATCAAAGCAGATTACCTGGAAAATAAACAAAACACAAACTAAGCCTAAAATACTAGATAGATTGGATATGACCTAGCAATTTCTCACCCTGGTTGATGATACAAGCAGTCCACCAGCTTTCCATACACAGGCTATCAATCCTTTTAGCCTGGGACCAGCACTTCCCCAGTTCAGTCTTTGTTCCTCAGGTGTTTTCAGGAGTTTTCTTGTGTTGAGAATGAGGCCCCTACATGATGTCACACCCCACCTTGTATAGCTTTACCATAGGGCAAGAACCCTTTGTTTCAAAACACAGCTCTCAGTCCAGCTTGTGGAAAAATACAGGTACCCAAATGGAGCTCAGGATCATGTGGTCTGGTCACATGCCCTTGCAGAGTCATAGCAGCCAGTACTTGCAAGCTGACTGAAATGTTCACAAGAAGGCTAAGCTCTCCCATAGTCCATTGTCTTTGCTGATGGGCCATCAGCACTGTCTGGCTTCTTCATTGTAGTACCTGAAAGGCTAGTTGTTGGTGTCACCCAGAGTAAACACATTTGAAATACAGATACATAGTTAATATTCATAACTTCAGATACAAAAATCATACATGCATACAAATAGGATAATCATAT